TATTTCTTTCAATCTATTTATTTTTCTTCATTCTTTCAAACAATGGTAATAAGCTTCGTTGCATCCTTTGGAAAAATTTTGTTGTTGAAAGGTGTTTGGTTATTGACAAAAACCCCAATGAATCTATTATCCTTATCATTCAATTTGCAAAAATGGAATCATGGAGAGGTTTTACTCTTCTTTTTCAATTTTCAAGTTTCAATTTTAGTGTTTTCTTTATATTTTATTTTTAAAGTTTTATACAATTTTATTGCTAGTTTCTTTAGGTGTGATGGAGATTTCCAACACCATATTTAATACTAGGATCTTTGTAAATAATTATGATATTCCTGAAGTTTTAACATTTAAGGAGAGGTAATGTTATTATTTTTATATAGTTTTTTTTATTATGTATAAACATTTTTATTTTTACTTAAGTTTAATATTTGTAGAATTTCTACTAGTGAAAGGGTTCACATCAAAAAGTCGAGCACAATAGGCTCTATCACGTTGTTATTTGATGATGAAGTTCTAGATTCTACTTTAAGGAAGACTATTGTGGAAATTAAGAAGTCTAGAGAAGTAATTCCTACATTGTTTTCCTTATTTCTATTTGTGATTAATGCTCCTAGCTTTCCATTTTTTGTAGCAATTATTTTACTTTCTTCTTTATTGATTTGTTACATGGCTGGTAAAGAAATGGTGAAATTGTCGTGAAGCTATTGTGGAGCTATCATGGTATGAAAGTGCCATTTTATGTAGCATCATTAGTTTAACACGAAGAAATCCCCAAAGATTACCCTTTAAGATAAGCATAATCTTAGGCTTTAGCTTTTTGCTTATATAATTATTATCTCATGCATAAGACAAATGAGTGAATTATATATGTTCTTGAATGATTTTCACACTATCTTAATAGTTGATATACGGGATGGACCTTTAAAAAATTTTAATTGTAAGATTGGGTATATAATAAGGTTCCTTCTCCATTTTTTTGTAACAATTGCTCTGGAAAAAATGCAAATTTATGTAGACATGCAAGTTAATAGTCAAATTGGTTGGTAAAGAGCTTTTAGATATAATTGTTATTGATATAAAGCGATGGGTGATGCATGCAAAAGTTGCTAAAATGTTTGTATATTGCAACAATTGAATAATACTTGAAGGTGATACTGCCCATTCATTCCCTTGTGTTGGTGGTTTTGCTTAGTAACTCTATTTTTCTGACCAAAAAACATTCTGATTTTTTAGAATTTTCCTTATATATATATATTTTTTATATGAAGAATTTTCCTTATCTTCTGATCAATTACTTGTAACTAAATTTTTTTGTGTGCACATAGACTTAAGGCTATGAGATTTACCATTTTACCTTGCCTTTGTTTGTTTCCTTGTCCTTTATGGGTATCATGGAGACAACAACATGCAACATGTAAAATGCAATACATAATTACATATGCTAAATATAGCAAGAATTGGGAATTTGTTTACAGGTATAGCTACGGCATCATTCATTAGTATAAAGTATATGTATGTGGGATACTATGATTCATGATTGACTTAATTGCTTTTTACATTGACTTTTTAGTGACTATGAATTAATAGGAGTATTTCTATATTGGTGAAGGAAGTTTGAACATGGTCTAAAAGATACTTAACAAGAACAACACTTTGTATAGAAAAATAGATTGGATAATGACAAGAAATGCTTCTTAAAATTTTGAATTAGTATAAAGAGATATCTTAAAGAAAGTTTACATGCTATTGATTCTATTCTCTACCTACTTAATTGAACTTTTATTTGAGCTTTGCTACATGCCTCATAACTTTTGTTGTCAATTTATTGTTAGGCTTCGCTAGCCTCATTGTGGGTGAACTTCATTACAATATACTTTTAAGGTATTGATTTAGTTTCCATTACTTTATGTAAATGTATTCTTGCAAAACACATTTGATAATGTGTTATATAACATGAGATAGTTCTTATTTCTTTAAGTTGAATTTTGATTGCAAAAACATTCTACAGCAAATTCCTTACATTTAGGTGGTGTCATCCATGTTGTTTGTGAATCATATATGGTAGTGGATACTATGGCTAAAATAGAACAAAACATTGTGAGGATTTTATTGTTTTTGATTGTATTCCCAAGCAGTTAAATATGCATATATTGCTAACATCATAGGAATTGACATAATTGAGATTAAATTCCCTTGAATTCACTGTTATAGTTCATTTTAAGTAGTGATATATCCTTTTACAACTAATTTCTTTTTTATATTAAATTCTTAAATTTTTTTTTAATTTCATGGGCCTAGGCATTGCACAAGTATCAATTTGTTATATAAAATGTAATATTGTTAAATATATGTTAGTAAATAGAGTTTTTTTAATCAAAAGATTACAAATGTTATATCAATGTGAAAATTAATATGCATGATGTAAATAAATAAAAATTTTAATTTAATAGTTGATTTTGAAAAATATTAATTAGAAGTTAAGATTTTAGACAGGCCATCTAGAAAAATTTAGGATGACAATCTACCTTACACAAACTTCTTATTTTGAAAATAAGTTATTTTAATCTTTTTGAATGGGATCGAAATTTATTGCAATGATATAATTTTCAGATTTTTTTTTCTTTTAATTTCTTATAACTCAATTGATAAATAATTTTTCATATATATATATATGTGTGTGTGTGTGTGTGTTTGTGTTGGGGGATGAGAAACCTTTTACATTTAAAGTTTTGGACTCGGTTGACTCTAACACATTGACCCGTAGACCATAGAACATGGCAACTTGGTGGAAATTTTGCACTTGTTCTCACATGTGGCATAAAAATTAAGCAAAGGTTTAATGCCAATTATGGTCCCTTGAGTTTTATATAGTTTTTGTTCTTAAATTCTTTCATGCATTGTTTTAGTCTTTTATCTATTAAAGATGTATTTTTTTAATGCTTCATCAATTAATCTGTTAAGTCTATATATATATATATATATATATATTTTTAGTCTC